TTGGGGCCGGGGAGATGGCTCAGTAGAATAAGCGCTTGCCTGGCAAGTAGAAGGCCCTGAGTTCAATCTTCGGTCCCACCACAAAAAAAAAAAAAAAGAAGTGATAGTTTGATTATTTTTCTATTAAGAAGAGTGCTTCAGCCAGAAAGGTGATGTACACCTGTAATCCTAGCACTCAGGTGGCTGAGGCAGGAGGATGGCTGTGAGTTTGAAGCCAGCCTGGGCTATATAGTGAGACTTTGTCTCAAAAACAAAAGAGAAGTATGTGTCAGTAGCCTTTTACATGATGATAGAAGTTTATTGGTCTGCTCTCATGGTGGCGGTGGTTGTGTTCATTTTCTTGTGTCATTTTAAAATCTTAGATTTTGGGGACTAAACCTGATTGGCCATAGGAAGTTAATATATAAGACTAACAGTTGTGTTTCTCTTTTTATTGCCAGAAACTGGTTGCTCAAATGAAGCAGGATCCACAGGTAAAATACTATTTTTATTCATTTAATTTTAAATTAAATTGAAATTATAAAATATTAAAGTATAGATGTTACTTAAATTTTAAAAGCTATTTTGTCCCTAATAGCAATTGTTTTTAGCTGATTGATCTTCATGTTTTATAGGTTTAGAAAAAAATCTATGCAGTCTATTGTAATGTAGCTATAATTTTTTTGTTACTATTATTAGGCTTTTATGTTAATTGAATATTTTGAGAGTTGATACTTTTCATATAACTTAAATTTCATTTCCATAAACCCATTTGTTCAAAATCAGAGATTGTTAGACTTTCTTTAGTCTCAATATGTTTTTTTTTTTTTTTTTTTTATTTGGTACTGGGGATCAAGCACAATACTGCCTTTTGCTTACCAGGCAGGTGCTTCTGCTGCTGAACTATATCCCTGTTCCTAGTCTCAGTATTATTGAAAGTAGCACTAAACCATTCTTAGTTGGAATTGATAGTATAAAACATTTGAATATTGGAGTTTACTGTGTTTAGGGAAAGAATTTTAGAATAATTATTTATTTATTTTGTTGAGAAATAGTAATGAAAGTTTCAAAACCTATTAGTAGGACAGTTTCAATAATTAATACATTGCATATTGTCTTTGTAGTTAGAATAATTTTTTATTTTTTAGAACTTTTTTTTTTTTTTTTTTTCCAGAACTGGGAATTGAACTCAGGCCCTTGCACTTGCCAGGCAAGTGCTTATTCTACTGAGCCATCTCCCCAGCCACTAGAATAATTTTTTAAAGCATTTTAGAAAACTTTATTTTTTGTTTTGTTAATAATTATTGAGGAGCTGGGGAGATAGCTCAGTAGAATAAGTGCTTGCCTGGCAAGTGCAGGGTCCTGAGTTCAATCCCTGGTACTGCCAAAAAAAAAAAAAAAAAAAAAAACCTGAGCCAGGGAGATAGCTTGGTGGTATAAGTGCCTGCTTGGCAAGCTCAGGGACCTGGGTTCAATCCCTGGTACTGCATGCCGTGGCAGTCCTGGAACCTGGTGCTGGCCACTGAAATCCCAGCGCTGGGGAGGCTGAAACAAGAAGATCACTGTAAGTCTAGGCTGCAGAGTGAGACCCTGTACCAAATAAATAAATGAAAGATTAATGATAATAATGATAATAATTTATTTTTAAAGAGAATAAAAATAGTAAAAAAAAATTAGAAATGATACAGAATTTCACTAAATTAACAGGAATGAACACTTTATTTATTTATTATTTTTGTCATACCAAGGATTGCACTCAGGACCATGTGCTTGCCAGGCAAGCACGTATTCTACTGAGCTATCTTCCTGGCCCCGAAAATTTTACTTTTGAAAGAACTCTTAAAGGGAGATTTAGAAGTACCTTATATAATACAATATTCCAAGAAATGTTAACTTTTGTTTAAATTTCCGTTTATTTATTTTTTACTTTGGGCATTATAGGCTATATTTGTGAGGAGCAATCTTACTAAGAAGTGATCTTGTTTCCAAAGATTTGTATTTGCTATTTGGGCATTGTCTCTTTCATAGCTATTAGGCAGTTGGTCATACAGGCCTCTTTTAACATTAAAAAAAAAAAAAAAAAAAAAAAAAATTCTTGAAGAATGGTACTGAGACATTGATTTTTGTGAGTGGAAAATAATATTAATTTCTACAAATTTGGGATTTAATGGTCAGATTATTGTGTCCAGGGATCCTGAGAGCTGGCATTGATAGCCCACATTTAGACCTGTTCAACTTCCATGAGAAACTATTTTGATCTTTTGGGTATATTTGCAATTTAAGTTGTATTTAGGGAACAAAGGGGCAGTAGACCCTACTTTCTATCACATGCTTCCACAGACTTTACACGTTTAGTGTGGTAGCCTACATTTTGAGCAATTGAAGCACTGTTAGAAATCAGCATTTGTGCTATAGTTGGTAATTGTGTGACAGACCATCTTCATCTGGAGAATAGAGGCAGTGACTTGTTTGAAAGCACTATAGGTGCCCTGATTAGAGACAATTTACAGCAAACACACTTCAGAAAGTACAAATGAAGTCAACTTGAAACTTAGCAGAGGGGGTAGGTATTTGTCCCAACCCTGAGAGAAGACCAGGCAGGGTAAATTCAAAGAACTGTGTGTGAAAGGATCAAATAAAAGTTGGTTCTCATTGGTGTTTAGGCTGCTAGTAGGCTCTCTTGCTTGCTAAGCATCTGAAAACTTTAATTTTGCATTTTCCCTCACTTGAGTAAACAGCAAGCATGCTCACTGTATCACATTGAAAATAGTGTTCTTTTTTTGATTCCTAGAATTTTAGAACTGAGAAAATGCCCTGGTAGTCAGTGTGTTAATTTGAATGATGTAGTGTTAAGGCAAGCTACAGTACCAACAGCTTTTCAAATCTAGGCTAAAATAACAAATGTACTTTACTAAACAAGTAAGAGGACAGTCGAGAAAAACCTCTTATCTGTGTTGGTAATGCTGCTAAGCGGCAGTGTGTGCGCATCCTTACTGCCTCTGTTTAGCTGCTTTTGTCTGATTAGTGGAGCTTTAGCTTTTGTGTCAATTTATACTTTCTATAAAGAATAACAATATTTTAGTAGTAAGGTAACTATTATAGTATAAGATGCTAAACTATAAAACTTGTAATTTAAAAAGTTACAAAGAAGCTGCACCTGTTCTGGGTTTAGGAGCCCACATGTAGGATTTATGCATTAAGGGTGATGTTATGATTATGATTTAATGCATGACAAATTTGATTGGCTAAGTGCTTAAGGTTGATTCATCATTTGTAATACAGTGTGCATAGTGTTCTTGCTACTATTCTGTTAACAAATGAATATCTTTCTCACAGATATTTTTTCTTTCCAATCAGAATGCTGACTTGAAGAAACAACTTCATGAACTCCAAGCCAAAATCACAGCTTTGAGTGAGAAACAGGTAGGGGAATGGGGGGGAGGGCATATTTTTAACATTGTGTTCTAAAGATATGTCTGCTAGAGGCTTCTAAAAGAACTGCTATTTTCCCTCATGTGTGAAAATAAGTGTGGGCAGCCAGACTCAGTTTTAATTTTGTTTGAGCTCTGTTTATCTATTTTTATTTTTGGAAGAAATCAGTCTCTAGAGTATCCCATGGGTATATGTTACTGGCAAATATCTAAAAGCAATGTGGCAGGCTGCTGTTACCATGTTAATTAAACCATATAGTTTATGCATAGGGGAAGAAGTAAAGAAAGTTCGTGGGAGTGTGTGATAGAAACTCCTGTAGCTGCTATAGGTGTCTTGTTACCTGTTTTAAAAGCTTAAGCTGACATTTAACTCACTGTGGAGAGAACAATTGCTAAGTGTGTCTCTAAATGTAAGAAGTTGGTCATACATGTCTCTTTGTAAAATAAAAAATAAATTCTTAAAGAATGGTCCTTAGATACTGATTTTTGGAACTGAGACATTGATTTTATCATACTTTTATATTGATCTTTGGTAGATACTGACCTACTACATGAAAAAAGTTAAGGGGAAACATGTTAGACTTACCGCATATAGGCCAAGAGAAGAGCATGCTTTTTTCCCAGGACATCTGGAGAGAACTGTTTGCAGTCATTTTGTATAATGACCTCTACTTCAATCCAGGCGGCTCCTGCCACCAGGTGGAGTGTGACAATTGATAGAGCTCTAAGTAAATGTCTATGGTAATCTGATAAAGGATTTGTATTTTGTACTTCCACACTATTTTCCCTTTGGTTAAAAAGGGCATTTTTTGTTTTGGAGTAAATGTGTGAACCAAAATTTATAAAGGTAAATGTGTGGACCAAAATGATAAGTTGATTCACAGTTGATAGTTCATAGGAATGATATCTTATTGAAGATTTTTGATGAAATAGTTCTCAGCAACTGGTTTTGTGTGATTTTTAAAAGCTTTTATTTAGTGTAATAATAGCAATGAGTAATTTATTCCTAGACATTTATGATTTTGTGTATTTTTTTAACTGAAAGGAGAAACTTGGAGAGCTGTGTGAAATAGCTAAGTTAATTAATTAAATCCTCCAAGCTAAGTGAACAACTACTTTTTAACTCCTCTCTCCCCTCTTTTTGGTTTCTATCTTGTTTTCTCCACTGCTGGGGTGTGCTAGGTTAGGGAATCGCTGATACAACATTAGGATGAGGTGGGACAGTGGAGAGCAGCTTGAAGGGCAGACCCGCAGCTGGCTGGCATGCATCTGGCTCACACTGTGACTCAGTGTCAGGGAACTGATGTGTGCTAGTGAAAGTGTTCTAGCTTAAGGGTTGCGTCTGCACTGAGCCTACTTGTAGTTTCGGGGTTAGTTTGACATGTTGCCAGTGAATGACTCACTTTTGCTGAAAAATCCCTGTTCCAGCAGGGAGGGAAGGTGAGAACTGATCAGTGGAAATAGAGGGTGGGGGATTGCGAAGCTAAGACAACCCAAGACTATGTTTGGGAAAGTGGGACAACTAAAGAAAAATTTATGTTTATTTTACATTTTTTTGGTGAAAGTTAATGTAAAGATTGAGTTATTCTGTAGCATCTTATTTGTTTATTTTTCTGTTAAGGGCCTCCCCTGAGAAAAATTGTAACTACATTCAGTGAGACATTTCCTTCTTTTTTTGGTACTGGGGATTGAACTTAGGACTTTGCGCTTGCCAGGTAGGCGCCTCAGCTACTGAGCCATCTCTCTGACCCCAGTGAGACGTTTCATCAGGTGGCAAACTCAGTTATCAACTAAACTAAGTTTGTATTTTAGAAGTTGAAATTAAAAAAAAAAGCCTGACACCAGGAAAGCTATAGGCATATAAAGTGAAGGAAATCAGAGTCAGAAACGAGTGAAGTTTCACATTTTTATATTATATGCTTAACTTGTAAAATAGCTTTTTTGATGGAATGGGAAAATGTCATATTTAGATAGAATAATATTTGAAAGAAGCATAGATGTAAAGTTTAAAAGGTGATCATTCCTCAGGCTTGTTTCTAACATGAAACATTACTATTGCTAATTAAACTATAGTTTTAAAGTAGTCTTATTTTAGAACAAATTCCTAATGTTTCTTGCTCAGCTTTTTGTTTTTCCTTTTCAAAAGATCCACTTAGCCTCTGGCAAAACCTACTGATTTTACTTCCACTTTAATAATGAAAATATGAATTATCTTACATGACTAATCTTTTAATTTAACATTAATTTTGTTGAAAAATTTAAAATGTAAAAAACTATGAGGGAATAATATCATATTCTAGAATTAATAACTGTTAACCCTTTGTCTTTTGCTTTCATTCTTTTTCTTTTTTTATGAGCAGAATATATTTATTTTTTAAAATTTATTTATTTTTTTTATAATTGACTTTTAAAAAAAATTATTTATTTATTTGTGTGTGTATGTGTGTGGCCAGCTCAGCCCACCAGGGGGCGGGGTGGCTGGCATGTGGTGCTGGGGGATTGAACCGAGGTCCCTGTGCTTTGCTAAGCTTGTTCTAAGGAGGTGTTTTAGACCACTGAGCCATCTCGCCAGCCCCAGCAGAATATATTTATTGAGAGAAAGAAAGCTCCTGGGGCTGGTGAGATGGCTCAGTGGTCTAAAGCACCTCCTTAGAACAAGCTAAGCTAAGCAAAAGCAGAGACCCTGGTTCAATCCCCAGCACCACATGCCAGCCAGACCCGCCCCCTGGTGGGCTGAACTGGCCACACACACACTAAAATAAAAAATAAAATAAAAAAATTTAAAAATTTTTTTTTAAAAAAAGAAAGAAAGCTCCTGTCCAAGAGAGGGACAGGAAGGGGGTCATTCTTTTTCTATATGCATTTTTCTATATCCATTTGAAACCTTAATTATACAGATAATAGACCTATATATTTACTTATTTTGGTTTATTAAAAAAATAAAACATTACAAATAGCCACTCTGTCTTGAAGTTGACAATTATTAGTTCTTATTCATTATTACCACCTCAATCTCTGATACTCAGTTTCTTCCTAAGACTAATTATGTAATGATGCACTCTGGGAAAATAGGTGTTAGTGAGCATCCTTTATGTAAAGCCCAGTGAACTTCACTGAGTTCTTGGTTGGAACTGTCCAGTGCTTTCAGACCGTAGCTTGCGATTATTGAGTAGAAGCTCTCAGGTGGATGAAGTCAGCAGAGGCTGACCTAGAGGACTTCAATTTGTAGTTGACAGTTTTCATTCGGAAAATCCCCAGATTTGATTGGCTGAGTAAACTATATGTTGGTAGCCATTAAACTCATGGTTTACAACAATATTTAGTGACATAGAAATGTTCTCCTAATAAAATAAGTAAAAAGGCACATATAGTCAGACCTTGAGCATTGTAGTCACATTTTGTTTGTTCTGTGTATGTGTGTAAATGTGAATATGCTGGTATTAAATGTTGGATTTTGCAGGTAGCTTTTCCCTTAAGTATTCTTATATATATTTTCTAAACCCTCAATAGTATGTTTTGCTTTTTGAATCAGAAAAATAAACATGAAACTTTTAATTTAATATCAGCCTCTTTTCTGTGCCTCTTAACATTTAATAATCTTATGACATAACTTTTGTGATATTTGAACCCTTCTAATCAGAGAGTTAAACTACTTTAAATAGTGATCATTTTAAAGTATGGAATCAGCTGTTCATTTCCTCAGCAGAGTTTTCATTTCATTCTGCACATCCCCACCCCTATTTCTGATAGGCGTATGTGGTCCTTTTCTTGTCAGAACAGAGATACTCTGACATGGGAGCACTTAGTTGCATTAGTGCTCTCCTGTAATTCTTACTCCTTGTAAGGCTCTTTTTGCCTCCACTCTCTTCTCCTCCCCTCCCCTTCTTTCTCTTTCATGGTACCAGAGGTAGATCCCAGGGCCTTGCACATACCAGGCAAGTGCTATGCCACTGAGCTCTATCCCAGTCCAAAACACATTCTTATCCTTAAGTTTATGCTATAAAAATTATAACTTTGGCTTTTCCTGTAAACAATTTGTCATCTTATCTCCATTCACTTGGTAGGTTTCACCTCATAGCTTAAATTTGTTATGTCCCGGGAGCTATCCCTGAAGCCCTTTTGTTCAGTCATAATAAGCTATTTCTGTCATCATCTTTCATTGGACCCTTTATTTTTCCTTCATGTTATGCCATTTAGAATTAGATTCAGGTCAGAGTGACTGAAAGCCTAGACAAAGTAAAAGTGGCCGTGTAGGTAAAACGTTATTTCTCTCATCTGAAAGCTCTATAGGTAGCCTGGGTCTGGTGAGTGGTTCCACAGCGTCAGGGAACCCAGGCTCCTCCTCTTCTGTTTGTCTGCCATTCTCAGCATGAAGCTTCCGTATCATAGTCCAAAATAGCTGCTCCATCTGGTAAGAAGGGAGAACAACAGAGCGGTCCTTTCATTTTTAAGGATGTTTACTGGAAGTTTCATATACTACTTCAAGTAGGTCCCATTGACCTAATTTTAGCCACATGGCCTCGACCAGGAGCAAGGAAGGCTGGGAGACGTAGTTTATTGCTGGCCACACAGAATTCAGGGAGTGTTACTGAATAATAAATGGGAAGTAAATACTAGGGCTAATTAGCAATTTCTACTGTCATAGCAGATCACAATTTGTAATTATGTGATTGTGTGATTACTACTTTCGAAATACCTTTGTTATTTATTAGTTTTCAGAAAATAGGAAATACATTTATTTTATTTGCTTTATTCCTGTTATTGGTGTAATATTTAACACAGAGCAGTATTTAGTACAGAAAAAGCATTTGTATTTCCTAAGTGAATTTTATCTAACTTGTTGTTTTCTCTGCTTATAGATAATTCTTTGTTTTAAAGAGCAATGCATTTGCTTTGTATTAATATCTTAATATATTAGGAGCATTTTACATGTTAAATATTCTTTGAGAGCATGATTTTTATTTATTTTTTTGAGAGCATGATTTTTAATAA